GTCTTCAGTGCATCAATATCAATTCCAACATGGCCCCTACCATCACAGTTTTTAAGGCTAAAGTCACCTGAACGAAATTTGCTGACCATCGTTGACACTTACGAACGGTCAAAACATTTCCATAAACTTTACTGATATTCTTTGTGGCTACAGAGGCGTTGTTTCCATTCTTGTATTCAAACAGCATACGTGCTGAATGTGCGTCTCGTCGTGTGCCATCAGTATAAGGGATTAGAGTATACTAAACTTTACACATTATATAGGCTAGACTAATGTGACAGTTAGGCGGTTCGTTTATCTATTATACATGATGTGCGTTTTTTTTTTTTCGGGGGGGGTAATGAAAGTATTCCAAAACGCGACATTAATTTCTTAACGACCTAATATACATATATATATATATATATAGATAGATTATATATATATTTGATATATTACATTAACATTTCTGAGAGGTTTTTAAATCCACAATGCGTAGGCCCTACCTTTACCTACAAATATCCAGTTATCACTTCAAGTTTACTCTATTAGTGAGGTGACGTTAGTTATATGCTTGGTTAAAATTCAACTTTGTTTACTTGCAACACATATCAATCCACTGATACAATTTGTCCCAAGAACCCATTACCGAACGTGTTGAGGCTGATATTACAGTGTTCAAATGTTGTATCATGTCTTTGTGTATAAATTGGTATTTTAAAGGAACGTGGAGGAGATAAAGAAGATTTTTTAGAGATGCATTTGATATAATGCCACATCATTTAAAAAGATTTCTACTTGCCAGAATCGTATGATGGCTAAAAGCACACAGAGTTTGCTTCTCCTACTGACTGATGGCAGTTTCAGTCTTTTTTTTTCTCCTTCTTTTACTTTGAAATAACGTGTTATTGTAAGAGTTTGTTAAATTAGTTCGTGAGTTCTTTGGTAGACGGCGTCACAGTTCGATAAAATTTCAACAAGTTTAAAAAAAAGCTAGACTGGGATTTAAAAAATAGTAATAATACAATTTTTCTTCTCTTTTTTTTGTTACACAAATGTCATTGGAAACTAATGCTTAAAAATACCGATATCACTTATAAAAAACTGACAAAAATAAGTATTAGCTGGTATTGTGTGCTATAATTTATACGGCATTACTAAATAAGCTGTATCAATCGGTTTGTGTACTTAACAACCTGTATTATTTTTACTAAGCCTAGTCTCAAGATCCAGAATTTGGGATCCTGAAATACAATAATTAATGACGTATGAATGGTTTAGGTCAAGTAGTAGTACATCTAGTGGCGACAGGGCAAAATTTAGACCCAAAATGGTACCGTATTCCAGAAAGGCGACCCAAGGGGAAATTGCCCAAAATAAGTGGTCTTGTTTGTTACTTCAGCCGCTTGAATTAAGGTCGAAAGTTAGAAATAACCCTTTTTTACTGATTTTCCATCACTTAAAATCGGCAAAACCTGTTGAGTATGTATGAATTATTTTGTTTCTTTGTTAAATTTTCTTACAAAGCTGTTCCTAAATTTGAAGTGATACATTAGAGGAAAGGCAGCTCTTGGGTTACTCTTTTTCCAAGAAATAATGGGATTGGTCATTATTTTATAACGACCCCACGGCTGAAAGGGCGAGCATGTTCGCGTATAAATTATTACCAGTGTTTATGTTTCATCTGAACTTTTATTATTTTTATTTGATGCTTTCGTCCACCTTCGACCCTTTCTCGCCGCCATTACTCACAGAACCTTTAAACATCAATATACGGAACCTTTGAATTTGTCCTGAAAAAGTTATGCTTTTATTAATTTGAGCGGTATAAAGTGAGGGACAACGAGGCAACAATAATAAATAGTACGTGCCATCAAATCGCAAGCCTTGATTAGTATAATAACCACGCAACATTTCCCTTCCTAAAGTTGAGTAATAGCGGAAAAAATCCTCCCATACTTTATGATTCAGTCGCTAACCGGATGACGTTACACGTGCTGTCATTTCCTACTGACACAAGTATGCATATCAGAGAAATAAGATTTTTAAATTAAACATGTTTGTTGTTAAGCGCAAAGCTACACAATGGACTATTTGTGCTGTGCCCACCGCGGGTATCGAAACCCGATGTCTAGCGCTGAGCTGCAAAGGGGCAGTTTAACATGAAGTTTAGATTTTGTCGTAGCCGAAAACAAACAACAACCAAACACACAAAAAAACTGCTTATGAAATATCTTTCAGCTAAACTGTTTTTGTTTCAAAATCATAAATAACAGAAAATTAACAAAAAAGTAACTAAACACTTTTAGGAAATGAGTAATGAAAATGGTTAAAAAATTTAAATCCATATTGTTAATGTTCAGTTTACTTTATTCTCAAAAGATACGCCTATATATTTCACTTTTCGTTCATACATGTAAAAAGTATATCAGTAACGATAACAGTTCAAATGTAAATTCAAAAAAAGCTGATTTCACAGCTACATTAAATGTGCACTTAGTTCTCAAAATAACCCCCTCCGTGACAGCTTGTCTGCTGACTTACAACGCTAGAATAGAATTTCGATCTCCGCGGATTAGAGCACAGACAGCCCATTGCATAGCGATTAACAAGAACACACAAACAATGTCTTAAACGCAGGTGGGCATAGCTAAATATACTAAAATTAATCCCGTTGTACCTACTTGCAGCACAAAGGTTTTAGTTTGAAATACAAAAGACATATGTTTGGTCAATTAGTTTGAACGCAAAAAAAAAAGTTTCTGATTCATAGCAAAAAATAATGCTATCTTTTTTGGCCTATAGTGGTAAAATATATAGTTGTTATACTGTGTGCATACAATATAATTTAATCACGTTAACATATATACAGTATCTGTAGTGTAATTATTGATGTTAATGTTATTCATACCGAACCACGCTGAAGCTTAATATTATAATTACACATACTTTACCAGACGTAATTAACTTAATTTTGATATGACTAAAGAACAAGCAAAGAAAGTACACGAAACTCTAGAGTATTTGCACGTTGTTTATGTGTTTTATTATATATATATATATGTGTGTGTGTGTGTGTGTGTGTGTGTGTGTTTGTGTTTGTTTGTGTGTGTATTTGTGTATCATGCAGCCTTCCCATTTTTCTTTGGAAGGGGCATGTAAGCATGTTCCTTTACCAACTAAAAACTAATTTCTGTTAAAGATTTAACACCTACAGAAACAAAAACTCAAATGAAAAGATAGATCCACAGGGATGGAAACGCTTATGTTATAGATTAGTTTGTATTAGCATAAAGCTGCATTCTGTCTGCTACAGGGATCGAACATTAAACTCTAGTGTTATAAGCCTTTAAACTTACTGCTAAGCCACTGGAAGACGCATGTAAGCAAATCGAAAAAATCTCATTTCAACTAGTCACTTATGAATTACAAGTGAGTAATAGATAATTAATTTTTTGTGTCCAATATTTACTGAACCATTGAAATATGGAAGTTTAGAGTCGATGCCACAGAGGTAAAGATCATTCTCTCTCACCTGATTCCACTTTCCTTCTTACCAGCCTTAGTTAAAGCAATGCCCGTGTAATTACTTAAAAACACTCTACTCAAACTGGATCACATCATATTGCAAAATTCGTTTAAATGTTTAACATATCTGAAAAGCAAGACTGAATACTGATAAAGTAAAAAAAAGGGTGTAAAATGGTGCCCTAAACATTACTAACTTTGCTGATGAAAACAAATTCTAAAATCCAGACATGTTAGCATATGGGAAAAGGCACAAGAATTTTTAAAGGCAACATTTAACTGATGTTCATATTACTGTATCAGTTCAGAAATAATCAGTTACTGGCTGAGGCATAAGTGGGTTGCTGTCGACAATAGCTGTTTTGATTTCAGAACCCCCCCCCCCAAAAAAAAATATTTTATGGTAATTAATAGCTGAATCAAATAAAAACACTGAAATCTAATGCTTTTTATTAATATTATATAGTGTAAGGACATCTGGCTATTTTTTATATCAATATTTGAAAAACAAATGGAGAGGCTTACAAATCCTAGATGTACAATATTAAATAAATTTATTATTTTATGAGAAAAATGAGAGGAGGGATGTGGTCCTCTTGGACTCCTCCCCTAGATTCATGTCTACTTACACTACAATAAATAATAATCTTTAATTCCTGAAAAAATGGAGGTCCAGTTCCCCTCTCAAGATTCGTGCCTGCTTATAGAACATTAAATAATGTAATTATTAATCTCTGAAAAACATGGAGGGGTCAAAACCCCCTAGAAGCATACCTACTTCTACAACATTACAGAATACAGTTATAAATTTCTAAATTAGAAAAATAATGTAACCAAACAGCAAATTTACATTTTATTTAACACTTAGGTAGCAAGAGAGCTTGTGGTGGGTGCTGCCAACCAGTTGCCTTTCCTCTAGACAGAAGCTTAAAATTAGTGACAGCAGTATATTGCCTTATTAGCTTTGCAATAACAAAGACAGGGCAAGCAAATTTAGTGGCAATGGAAATCAAACTCAATACCCTCAAACCATGTTTTGCTAGCTTGTAAAAGGCTTTCACAACATAATAATTGTTGATGTAACAAATGGCTTATAAACATTGTGTTCTAAAAACTACTGCATTTGTTGTATCTCAGCCGACCTGAAGAGCTCTGGATTGAGTGAAACATATCAGCAATGGATATGACAAATATAGTGTGGTTGGAATACTATTACTATACACTCTTCTAATTCTCAAAAGTCCCTAAGGGATTAGATATAGAATAACATAACATATAACATAATGTTTTGGGACAACATAGGACCTATTGATCCATCTCAGCTGTTCCATCCTCTAAACTAAATGAAAATAATTAAAAAAAAAATCTTAATGCCAGTCCTTTTCATTCATATACTTATCCAGCTTTTTGTTAAACTCGCTTAAATTTACTGCCTCTACAACATCTGAAGGCAACCCATTCCAAAGGCCAATCACCCTGTTAGAAAAAAAAAACTGTCTTAGCTGAAGATTACTCCTACGTTGCCAAAATTTGTATTTGTGTCCCCTAGTCCTACTATTCTCACTGTTAAATATGAAAAAATATGATGTATCAACACTATCAATTCCCTTTACAATCTTAAACACCTCAATCAGATCCCCCTTAACTCTTCTTAAAAAAAAAACAAAAAAAAACAGAGATTTCAGCCGCTCCTCATATGACAACCCTTCCATCACAGGCAACCTTCTAGTAACCTTTCTCTGAACCCTTTCCAACAATTCAGTGTTTTTCCTAAGGTAAGGAGCCCAAGACTGAACACAATATTCCAAATGTGGCCTAACCAGTGACCTGTACAATGAAATTATAACCTCTTTAGACTTGTATTCAATATTTCTGTAGATACAACCTAAAATCCTATTTGCCCTACCACTACCAACAGCACACTGCTTGGATGGCTTTAGAGACTGATCGACTATAACACCAAGATCCCTTTCCTTCATAACACTGTTAAGGTTATTTCCATCCAAATTATACTTATAATTCAAATTATGATAACCCACATGCATTATATTGCATTTATTATAATTAAAAAACCCACTTACCATTTATTTGCCCATAGTGTTTAGAAATATATTAAGCTTAATACTAATACCTTAGAACAATAGTATACAAATATCACACAAAAATTCAGAAGAGTTTCCTTTAAATATTCAGCGTTCTTGAAGACAACATGCTGAAACTTATTCATTTGTAAGTCAACAGTGTGTGCATAAGTGATAGCTGCAAAACTAAAAATATATGTAATCTTCAACATAACTGAAAAAAAAGATGATACCACCATGTAGACCAGATATTTGTCTACAGTTTAATATTTCTCTCAAGATATCTCTATTTTGGTACATCCTATTCGGTGGTTAACTGATTTTTTAGCTATAAAAACAGTCTATGAAAGTTAAAAAGCTCATTTCACTATATTAGAGAAAAATCACTAGTTAAACTGTTATTAAGAATGACTTGTTGAATTAAGAAGAATGATAATTCAAATTATGGTCAGCCAATCTCAGCATTCACTTTCTTAGATAATTACGAAAATTGTAAATGATGACGTCACTTCTCAATTAGAATTTATGACTTTTAAAATCTCAAAAGTTCTGTTGGTAAGAGCACTTACTCAATAAGCAGGAATGCAAGTTTAAATATGGCACTATTCTAAATTTCATTGTTTTTCAGAACTTTACCACAAATTCAAAATATTTGTTATAGCACGAACACTTTTTTACTAATAAAGCATGATTATAATCATTTATATTTGTCATAAGACAATGATATTAGGCTAAATTTCCTTTTGAACACTACATTCTTTACTCAGTCCTTTAATTTTTTTCTGAGAAGATGAGTGTATAACAGTATTTCAACCACACTATTATACATTCTTCTTCTTAGAAAAATCTTAAGGTACAGAATAAAGAATATAGTATTTAAAAATACAATAAGTCTAATACAATTGTCTTACAACAAATACAAACTTCAAACATTGTTTTAGGTTTTAAAAATCCATTTCAATTTAAAACTATTAATAAAAAATATCCTATTGTACAAAAAACTTAAAACTTAGCAACAATGATATTAATACAAATTATTTCTGTTATACTGAAATGTTTATTAGTCTATAATTAGTTGAATTAATTTTTTGTATATTTTTGAATGTACTTGAACTAAGTTTTATTTGTTTATGTTGATTTCACTGTGGCTTGTGAACAGAGAAAAATTCTAGAAACTAAAATTGAATGTGACACTTTTAACATTGTTCCAACTTATTTTTCAGATGATGAAAAAAAAAAGACTTCAAAATAGCAAGAAATAAGGTTTCACCTCTCAACGTTTTTTTCATTATTAGATTAATATTTTATACAAAAAGTCTCACACTAAATTTTCCAGTGTATATATTGCAAGAAAATTATTGCTTTATAATGTATAACAGTTAATCATGAAAAGTCATTCTAATCTCACCTTCACATTTCATTCCAACTTTTCCAGTTCCCCAAATATAATCTTTACCTGAAAAGTGCAAATTTTCACTTCAATAGTCAACAAAATTCTTAAGAATAAGTTCATGTTGTTCATTATGACAGTTTGTCATAAGGAGTATGATCGTGGATCACTCAAGTAAAAAATAAATAAATGTACTTGAAAGCAACTAAAAATTAAGATAAGTCTACTGCCTAGGAAAAATGATTTTTAAATACTCTTTTTTATTCAATGTTTAACTGAATAAGATTGAACATTTGCTTTGCAAGACCTCGAAAAATTACACAGTCTCAGATACATGCATGTTTAAACAAACTATGCATAAGTTGAACACCTATATTTATTTATACTTAGAAAATTTTCCAATAAAAGCATCATCAATACCTGAATATATTGATTACTGAAGAATCATGATAGTAGTGATGAGATGCATGACTGCATACACTTTTGTCTATACACTGGAGATTTAATAGGTCTTTTCTGCTGTTCAAACAACTATGTTCAGGAGACTGATGAATACAATGTTATTAAACTTTGTGTGTATAGCCAATTATGACTACGTGGAACACAATGTACACATGCAGTGATTTGTTCAAAACATGCCTGAATAAAATTCTAAATGACAACTTCTATATCCATAGGTTCTACATAGTGTGACTACGAAATCATCATGACTGTACACTGTCATATTCAGCATGATCAAATGACAGCCTTTCCATCAACTCATTACTACTGCCAGTGACGGTTTCAAATACTAACTGATCGGCAGAGACTGAAGCCACCTGTCAGTTTGATTGACAGCAAAAGATCTGTGTTGGGCAGTTAGAAACACTGACTTTCACTAACAATAGCAAACTGATACATCTCTAGATTGCACTCTTAAAGGTATATACAATAAAACAAGTTAGTGATTGGCTGTATTCTGACTCTTAGAATAAGTACTGTTTCTTTTCATTACCACAAAAATTTTAGCTTATTGGTCATTATGTCTTGCCAAACATTAATGTGGTGCTTTCAAAAAGGTGTTGAAATAAGTGAAAAAGAAACTTTAAGTGGAGATGTATCAGAAGAGTTGGAGAAGCTGTGGTTGCCAAATGACTCTAAAAGAAAATAAAAGATCATAAAACCCTGAAATCTTTATTATACCTGTAGTTTTTAGTTAAGCTAAGAACTGTATTGTATAAAATATTTGAATATGAATGTTAAAAATATAAAAATTTTGGCAACTTTCCAAAAACAAATTGTTAGAAATTCTTTAATTTTCTGCTTAATTAAAAGATGAGGCTGTTAGTGAAAGAAGTTTTTTTTTTCCACACAGGTCTATTTTTCTCCATAGCTAGGTGTATATTTATCACTATAAAGTTGGACAGATGTCAGACAAATGACAGTGTTTAGTGTTATAACCAGTAGAATACCTAGTGACCCATCACTGTGACGGGCAGCAGTTTTTCTGGCAGAAATACTACAACTTAGTCTATACACTGAGTTTTAAGATTGTGTTCATCAGCTTCCTAGATCAAGTCATCTGAAGAATGAAACTTACTTTTGAAACAACTGGTATATAATGGGCCAGTGGTTGTACCACACATTTTCTTGATAATTTAACTCAAAAACACATTTGGATGCATAATCGTAGCCCTATCGCTCCTAAAAACTTGTTAATACTAAAAAGTCATTTAATTCAGAGGCTATCTAGAATTGAGAGCATCTCTTAATGTGGAGGATTTCTGTTAACTTTGCAGATACTTACAAACAAAAACAAAATTCAGAGAATGAGTTTTAAAAAAATATAAATAAAGCCTGCATAATTGCATTTTTTTAAAGTAAACAAAACAAAAAAGGGAAACATTTCTTGGTTGGTATGTGTTGATGTATGTGTTCATACAGTTACCCAACTGGGGGCAGTGGCAATCGACTGGGTTATATCCTTTGTTAACATGTTTTCTGTAGTAGAACTAGTAGCTGTAGTACAAAGCAAAATTTCACAATTTGAAAATGTATTAAGTAGTCTAAACACTTTTTTTTTAATTTTTTGGCACACGTGTAATGTTCAATCTTAAAAACTCATAATTTTTAAAAAACAACGACTATTTTATACACATTTCTATAAAAATGAAACTGTAGGCTTTATACAATAACTTACTGTACAGGATAAAATGCGGTAAAAAAACCCGATGAAACTGTAAAACAATATCATACACTCTACATGTTTCCACGTATACTATTGCATCATCCTCAGAAGTGTAATGTTTCGCAAAAAATAACACTTATTTATACAATTATCAGAACACCAATTTACATATTTAAGAATTTCACGCCATCTGCTGACATTTACATCAGGTCCATCATCCTTATTCAATAATTTAAATTTACTTTTTTACATTTATATATCTCAATAGCTCATATATATTCATACTAATTAAATTTCCAGGTTGTGCTAAAATAACAATTTTTTTCCCATTGAATTGTGCTATTAGTTTCACTGACATGTTCTGCTAAAGGTGAAACAGTAATATTATTATTTTTAACATTTCTTTTATGTTCATTCAGTCTGAATTTTAAATTTCTTCTAGTTTGTCCTATATAAACTTTTTTTTTACATTCACATTTAACTTACAAATGCCATCTACAGAGTTTTATGTACCAGGCTATAATAATATCAGTAGATATGCTTTTCCAAGATCAAACAAATAATGACTGAAACACTGTATACAGATTTCACGAATTTGATGATGGGAGATGAACTACATTAACTAATTGTGAATTATAACTAGCCACTGAAATTTTAACAGTGCACTAAATATTATGAAATTTCAGACAGTGTACTGTAACAAAATAAAAGTGCATAAAAATATGATTAATAGATACTTTGCAAAACAGAAGTAGTTGGTATAATTTTCATTTCTGAACCATTATACTGTACAATGTGATTCTAAGTAATTTGTCTTTCTTTAATAGATGTTTAAATCAATATTATACTCATAATATCTTTTGTAAAAGTGCTCATTTAGAATGGCAGATCTAAAATACTTTTATAAAAGTGAGTCTTGTTTTTTATCATTGCATTAATAAATTCATCATTTCTCCAAAGATAAATAACTTTTTTAAAATCAAGTCTGGTATATATAGTCATATTGTTTGTTATGCTTTTTTTTAACTTGGTAGTAATATTGATGATTCTGATCTAGCTGCAACATGATACGCTCATCTAACCTTAAGATAGCTTATACAAGATGCTGTGCTATGTTCACTCCTCGCACTTTAAGGACATTTTCACCTCTAACAGATTTGGTCAAGTGTGGCAAGTAAAAACAGGTACATTGTAGAAACAAAAATTCAAAGTTTCTTTGTTTTTACTGTAGTGGCTTTTTCATATTTTTTTAATTCCACACCTTAATACATTTGACCATACTGCAAAGCTAGAGATCTTAATACTGTTACATTTGTTAACCTTTTTACTAGCTTATACATATCTTTGCATGAGACTGACTTAACTATTTCACCAAAATTACTAGTAGTCAACCTGTAGGATCTGGTCTCTAACTAAAATTGAGAAGTTGCTTGCTTCCATGTCAGTTCTTGCCTATAGTATATAATTTGGAAGTTTTAAAATAATGTAGTTAAATTACTTAATAGGTTATTATACACAGTTCACAATGTCAAAGCTTTTGATCAATCATGTTTTGTCTAGCTTTGTAGAAGGATACAAATTAATCATACATATTTACCTGTTTATTGTTTTGCACTCAACTTTGCTCTTTGTTTCTTTAGTTCTTTTCTTAGTTCAGATAGTGTATACTCTCATATTTCCCCCTTTATTATTGTAAATTTCAATGATTGTCACTCTTACCTTATTATTGCAGAGGAGGTTGGTCTCATGCCAGTAGAGATACTCTGGATTTGAGAAAAGAACTTTTCTTGCGAGCCTGTTTAATCTTACCCTTGCATAGCTTGGCACACACACCCTAATGATGGTCTTACTGTTCAGTTGCCTTGCTTTTGGCCATTTATATGGTTACCAACCATTCTAAATTTTATGTAGTAATGTCTTTGAGCCAGTCACAAATGTTATATAATTGTTCTGTCTATTTTCAGTTTGTTGTTTTCAGTGATCCAGAGTGGAGCCTGCTTTATGGCTTCCATCTCCATCCTTGTGCTGCTTGTTGGAAGCTTGAATACTCCACCAATCTTATACAGAATATTGTTGCTCAGTAAGGCAATGAATGATCAATCAGCTCTCTCACAATCTTTGGTGTAGAAACCATCTGTGCTATGATGACTGTCCACTATATTTTTACAGACATTTTGTGCTTCACCTTCATCCCCATCTCTACATATTCTGTCTAGGCTAATTTTTACATATTCCAGTGGCACCAAATGTTTACTACACTTCGGGAAATCTGTGATCTGGTGGTGAAAAATCATCTCAATGGTGGCTGTATAGCATCTGCACACCCACAAATGTCTCCTGAGGCACCATTTAGGCAATCCTTTGCGTGACTAGTGTTTGCAGTGTTGTTATAGAGCTGAAATGCTGATGTGAAAAGGGCAGTCACTTGATGATGAAATGTATGGTCTTTATACTGCAAGGCCACTGTGTAGAATTTTGCTTGTAAATGCTGTTAGTGTTCTACAATGCTATTAAGGCTTGCAAGGTGTAATAGGGGTTTAATTGGGATGGCTTAAGTAGATCACATGACCAGTCTTAAAATAGGCATTTTGTATGTTTGCAATCTCATCTAGCTGTGTAGCACTCATACTGATTATCAGCAGTACATAATCTAGGATGGAGTGGATAAGATGTAAGTAGAGAATAAGCAGGTGACAATTCTGCAGCTCTATTTCCTACTGCAACTTTTAATGCATCAATGTTTTTGGTATCTTTGATTATCAGAGTGTTAACGTAGCTAGTGAAGCTGTCTGTCAAAGATTCTCTTTTAATACATTACTTTAGTGAGTTGAACATTTGATTTAATTGCTCACCCACAATAATGAGACCTAAAACTTTTCAAAAGTAAAACAAGAACAATACTTACAATGCCTGCAAAGAACTGGGGTCAAGAAAAATGTTTCCATCAGCTGATGATGTGTAGTCTGATGCCTTAAAACAACTGGGGCTGAAACAAAAACATGAAAATAGAATAGCTAAGGAGTTATTTTTTTAGCTTAACAGCAAAGAAATTGACTGTAATCAAGGCTACTAAGATTTTGACAACACTTGTGTAAATTATAAATAGCACATGTGCTTAAATATAAAAAAAACATTTAATGATATGGTGGTATATTCTTTAAATACCTGTGTTATGTAACCAACAGTGTTGATCCAAGCTACATAGATATTCTAATATATTGTAACTCACATCAGACAAGCTATTTTCATCTCTAGAAATCAGTTCTAATTCTAATACAATACCAATATCAATACAGTATTTAATGGAAATTACTTTGTACTGCTTTGGGATAACACACAACATTTTATGAAATATCATAATCTAAAAAAGAACTTCTGAACATCACCCAAAAGGTGTTCATAATCTACACATATTAAAAAAAATTACATATGCAATATCTGATAGGACATTTTTGAATACTGTTGTATCACTTTTACAATAAAAAAGGATTTTGCAGGAAATTAGAATACTTTACTAAATACTCCATAGTCTCTGTTAATTCTTATTAAAATATCCTGCACACCATTGTTTAATAATGTGACAAACATACTAAATATCTTGTTAATGATTTTATTTTTATTCTGAAAAAAAAGAAGAAAAAAAAAAGACTGCTGCCATGTGTGAAAAATTACTAGCAAAAACAAAGGAAGATAATTTACATTTCAAATTTATGTAGAAATCCTCCTTACAGGGAAAAATCCAATAGCTCCCCCAAAAAATATCAAAATATCTCATTCACAACAACAAAATTGAGAATTAAAAATGTATTTGTATATCTAGAGGCACATTTTATTTTCTGTCTGCTTTTTATAGGCAAGTCAAGTACAACAACAATAAAATATATTACCTTTAAGCATTTCCATAGATTTCACAAACAGGTTTATATCCTATATTAATTCAACTTGAAGCTTTCTCTGTATTTATGCATGTCCAGCTAGTTCCTTCTACAGTTCTAGAGCTAGCAGGTATAAACTTTGCAAGTGGACTCAGGGTGGCCCAGAGGGTGTCATTAACTATATGGCATAGCTCACTTATTAAGGTGGGCTAAAACACTTGAAAGATCACCATGATGGGGGTCTAAGAGTAGGTTTTCAGGATCACCAAACTCAAAGCTGGCATCAAATTTTGCATTTCTGTCCCCACTTCAGGATCCAAGAGGCACCATGTTTAAAGCTGTGTTCATACCCCCACTCAGAACTTAGTGGGATCAAACTTTACAAACATAATTGGGAATAATGGAGATTTATCAGTACACTGAGGCCTCTCTGAATCATGAGAGGGCTTTTGATTCAAGCAGTATAGCACAAGTAGTTTACTGGTATTCATAAAGGAAGGAAAGATCTTAATAGTGAAGACAAAAACTCTGGTTAAGAGGACAAATACCATTTTATTCCTATATGCTAAACATTTTGGAATACACTGATTCCATTATCAGCAACATATGTAAAGAGAAAGTGTATGCAGTACCTTAGTTCAAATGAAGTAAAATCCAAAGTATGATAGTTAAAAATGTGAAGTTTAGGAAACACTGAAAAAATAGTAGTCAAAGATAAATGAATAAAACATAAATTACATTACAGAATATAACCAAATTACAAATTTTTATAGGAAAAAACAGAATGGAAAAACATATTTAGACATGAACTAGAAATAAAATATCAACATGCTAGCTGAAAGTTAGGATACAAGAAACACAGACTGATGATTATTTCTCACTAATTAGAAAAGTTATACAATGTATTTGGAGAAATGCCTTTGGATTAGTTAGCTCAGGGTAGTATTTTACAATTAGAAGGTTTTATTTAATGAGAAGTTGTTAAATTTGTTAACTACAACTACAAATATTCCTAAATTTAACTTAGAGATTTTTTTTCTAATCTGTGATCTGCAAGTTCCCATAAAAGGTTGACATGTAGATGAGAAGAATTGAGGACAGTGCATAGTTTGTTATGAGGTAGAACTCTGATGTTAACAAACTTGCATGTGAAATTATTTAGAAACTTTGAGTTTTAGATTTTTCTTAAAAGTTTGTGGATAAGAGTAATATTTTTAAAAGGGACATTACCAGACTAAGTTTGCTTTGAAATTAATTGGAATATCACAAATGTTTTGTATATGTCAAAATATTCTAACAGGTTTACAAAGTTCTGGTTCAGTTAAAAAGCAAGGAGGCAGGCTATATATATATATATTTACTGGTTCCACCTTAAACAATTTACAAAAAAATTATAACTCTTTACCATATCAATGTACTCAATCAATTAACTTAAATAACAAAATAGTTTACTTACAAGTTCCTTCGCAATCAGTAGCAGACGTTCTTCTATTCATGTTAGTATGCACAGAAGTTACAGATGATTGTGATAATGACCCACTTGGTTTTCCTTCGATTGAGACATCTGCAGGCAAAGACAAATTTGATCTTTGGATTGGTCCCTGCACACTGGTAAAAGGTTCTCTTCTCAAAAGTTCCAAGTAATTTCCTGGAAAATACCCAATAATACCCGTTCTTTGGTTTCGCCCCAAAACAAGACCATTAGGTTTATCTTCTGTCCCATACAGTGGAAACTGAAATGGTTTTTTCACTTCCACAACATCACCAGGTTCAAGACTCAAGTCAGGTGCTTCAGTATCATGGAACTTGCTTGGTGAATGGTAATAAACCAATTCACCCATACTTGTATTTAAGCTTTGTTCTGCCCAGGAAGTATCAAACTCGTGTTTTATTCTCATCACTTTATTAGTAAATTATCATAACACACATTTCAATGAATAGTTAAATGACACAATTTCTCTACTTCCTTTTCCTTGGTCACTATTTTAAATTTTTCCAGATTCACATTTGTTTTCAAGAGGTGTATGTAGAAGTCTCTATATATTTTATACACTCCCAATGTATCACAGCATAATAATGATGATGTAAGAGGACATATAACATGGAAAGTTTTTACAGTTACATATGGGAACAACAAACTGGTGTCAAAACAGTTTAGTTGAGAGATGTCACAACCTGTTGAAATTCTTCAAAATACAGGGTTTGGGAATCCTGACAAAAACAAAATAGAATTTACATTATTCATACATCATACATTTGTGGAAGCTTTGCATAAGTGTCATGTACAATTATCAATAATTGTAGATATTGAAGTGAATAGAAAAAATAAAAATCTAATA